CACATAAAAATAAATAAACAGGTTAAAAATACACATTATTTTTTTAAGAAGATGAATCTATCCATGAGCTGCGTATCGTGCCACAGAGTTGTGCAGCCTCCCCCTCCTACAGTGCTCAGGGCTTGAAGACTCAGATGTGTTCTCTCTGATCAGAGCTCAGCCATTCCCTTTGATGTCCAGTGCATAACTGAAGATGTTGACTGACGTGTTCCGCATATTCCAAGGATTTAATTTGAGGTCAAGTTTTTCCCAGAAGCAATATCTCGACAATCCTAGAATCTGAGTGATGGGTTTATGAGGATTCATTAAACTATTCTCTACTTTTGCATATATTTGAAATTTTCACAATTAAATATTTCAGAAGTCATGTTTGGCTCCCTGCAGAGTGTGTCCCACTTTGGAAAGACTGGAGTGGTCAAAGAAGCACATGAAGGAGCGACGGGAGCTTGGTAAGTCCTATGAATGGGGAAATTCAGGCATTTGGTTTGGAGCACTGCTCTAAACTCAGGGAGCAACAGGGCAGAGTCAACGTGGTATTGGCTCAGAGGAAGCTTCAGACCTAAGTAATTTTGTCCCCCATCCTTAGCCCTTTTTATTTTTTATTTTGAGACAGGGTCTTGCCGAGTTGCTTAGGGCCTCACTGAGTTGCTGAGGCTGGCTTTGAACTCGTGATCCTCTTGCTTCAGCCTCCCAAGTCGCTGGGATTTATAAGAGTGAGCCACCATGCCTGGCAATTTTGCCTGTTTTGACAAAAGTATTCTTTGTACTCACACCCCAACATACCATATGAGTTAAACACACTGAATTTTACTCAAATAGTCCCAATTTCATACTGATATTAAGACATCACATAAGTGTTCTAGGATTTGAATGAAGTCTTAAAAGATAACTAAAGAGGTATGGTAGTTTATTCAACTGCATCAAGCCATATCTATCTGTTCTAGTATCATCCATGGTCACAAAGATGATAGAGACCGACCCAGATCCTGACATACTGACCTGCTGGTAAGAATCTAACTCTGTTTTTGTTATAAGAAAATAAACCCCCTGTTATTAAAGCCACTCTTAGTTAATATGACATTGTGAATAATAAAAAATAATTACATCTGGCCTCTGCCCTGTTTCTGGCATAAAACTTCTAATCCCTTTGAATTTCCAGGGTGATAGGAGGGTCTTCTGTTCTAATGAGGTGACTCCTGGTTGGAGGCTGGTCCCCAGAAAGATCAGGCCGTGATTAAAAGCTTGGAACTTTCAGCCCCATTCCTAGCTTCCTGGAAGGGAGAGGGGCTGGAGATTGGGTTAGTAATTGATCACGCCTACACAAAGAAGCCTCTATAAATATTCCTGCATTCCAGGGTTTGGAGAGCCTCTCAACTGCTGTATTGTGTGGGAGCCTAGAGATGTCACGGAAGCTCTGTGATCCGTCTCCCACACCTTGTCCTATGTACCTCTTCATCTGCCTGCCCGTGTGTATCCTTTATAATAAATCTGAAAATACAAATGTTTCCCTGAGGGTCCAGGCAACCTTGTTTTATGGCTGTTTGGCCAGAAGTACAGGTGACAACCTACTACTTGTAATTGACATTTGAGGTGGGGGTCAGTGTTGTGGAACTGAGTCCTTACCCTGTGCAATCTGACTAAAACTCCAGGTAGCTAGTGTAAGAATTGAAATGAATTATTGGTCACCTATTTGGCATCTGCTAGAGGGTTGCTTGGTGTAGAGAAAAACCTCCATAAATCTGTGTCAGAAGTGATACACTGAGTTGGGTGTGTGAGAGTAGCAAAAACAGTCTGTTAGCTGGCTATAGTTACAGTCCATAATCCTGCAATCCCAGCTACTTGAGGCTGAGGCAGGAGGGTCTCAAGTTCGAGGCCAGCCTCAAGCTTGCAATTTAGTAAGACCCTATTTCAAAATAAAATAAAAAGGGTTGGGGAGGCTGAGACAGGAAGATCACAAATTTAAAGTCAGCCTCAGCAAACGTGAGGCCCTAAGCAACTCAGTGACTCCCAGTCTCTAAGTAAAATACAAAATAGGGCTGGGAATGTGGCTCAGTGGTGAAGTGCCCTGAGTTCAATCCCTGGTACTCCACCTAAAAAATAAAATAAATAAAATAAAAAGGGCTGGGGATATAGCTCGGTGATAGAGCACCCCTGGGTTCAATCTCTAGTATTACCAAAAAAGAGTTTTGTGTTTTTTTTTTTAACATAAATATATATATAAAATTATTTCTGAATTAGACCTCTTTGGTCATAAGTAATAGAAACCCATATTGAATCAGTTAAAGTAGGAAAATACGGTAAATCCAAAGGATGCTGAAGGAGTGGCTCATAGAAAGGATAGTGGCAAGAACGAGGGCATCTCCAAGAACTTGGAGCTGGGGACCAAGGATGTTTGCATCTTTCTGAGTGATGGCTCCATTTTCTTGGCTTTTCATGTATTGAAGGACATGGCTGTTGCCTGTGGGGATGTTGTCTCATTTTACAATGACCTGACCACACTTCAACATAAAAGTTCCAGGGAGGGACTGTCATTGGCTCAGTTTGGATCCTGTGCTCATCCTGGATCAGTCACTGTGGCCAGAGGGATGGGGTAAGTCTGAACCATCTGCTCAACCCTGTGGTCAGGGATGGAATAAGTGGGGTATACTACTGTTGTGAAATCACCTGATTCCAGTGTATGAGAACTGGCCCCAAGCTACCATGAGACCAAAGAAAGAGGCAGAAAGACGCAGGATTACACAGAGTACAATTTATTGGGGACTTGCTGACAGAAGTATGGTCCCTGGGCAACAGCAAGATCAGGTAGATCCCTGCGATTTGGGTCAGAAGACGGGGACTTATAAAGTGGTCAAGAACAAGCCTACTTCATCCAAGACAGAATGTACCTGTTTTATATCAGGCTAATATCAAAGAGCCAGGCACATTCTTAATGCCAGGGTTCAGTTCTAAAGCTACACATACCACTGTAATGGTCGTGTGTATTTATAGCCTGCTGGAAAACTATTCATGGAACACCAACCAGGGTTACTCAGGGGCAGTCACGGCTGTTATGACTCAAGATGGCTGAAGTCAGGTCAAACTGAATACATATAGTTATCAAAAGGGAGAGGCGTGCTGGCCACACAAATAGCCACCACACAGTGTCCATAATCCTGGCAGTCAGGCGAATGCACTTAGAAGGGAAAGCAAAAAGGGAAGCAGGGGTGGGAGGGGGCATCATTGTTGCTCAGTGCCCAGGCTCAGAGGCACAAAAGTCTGGATTTTATCCTGCTTTCCCTAGCTGTGTGAACTATGAGGAGTTTCTTAACCGCTCTGTGCCTCACATTGTTCACCTTGTCAAAGATGAAACTTGGGTAAGAATGACTTCATTCCGGCTATTGAAATAGGGAGAACACGGGGCTGGGGTTGTGGCTCAGTGGGAGAGCACTTGCCTGGCAAGTGTGAGGCACTGGGTTCAATTCTCAGCACCGCATATAAATAAATAAAAATAAAGGTCCATTGATAACTAAAAATATATTTTAAAAAATAAGGAGAACAGCCCAAATCTGAATATCTGTCTGCACAGGATGGTTTTACATTAGACTTGTATAGGGAGGGGTGAACAAGTTACAGGTGGGCTGATTTGTGGTTGAGATGGTTTAGCCATCAGTGGAAGACTCGGGCAATTAGCTGATCTAGAAATGTTTATCTTTGTGTCTGAAAAGTTTTGGGGGCAGAGGTTCAAACAGTTCTGATCTCAGCTAATTGACCACATGACAAAGAATAAGAAGTTGAAAGGTCTGTTTTTGTTCTTATTGCAGGTAAATAAGGGAGTTACCTGTGAGTCTCATGGGATTCATGAGGATTCCATAAGGATTGTCTCTTCGAAAAGACAGTGTCTTATTCAAGTCACAGGTAATAGAAGATAGTTATTTTTATTTTTAGTTGTAGTTGGACACAATACCTTTATTTTATTTGATGCTGAGGACGGAACCCAGGGCCCGGTACATGCTAGGTGAGCACTCTATCGCTGAGCTACAACCCCAGCAACAAGTAGTTCTTTTGGTAAGCTTTTTCCCAGAACACAAAAGGGAGAATTTCTAATTGTAGCTGTTTTCCAGGAGCACAGGGTTTAGGTAAAGTACAACACAGACAATCTGTAAAATGCTGAAACTATGATCCATCCTATAATTAAGGTGTGAAATAAAGAATCTGATTTGCTTAGCATGATACTGGGTATAGGGTTGCATATTTAGCAAATGAAAATACACAATAATAAAATGTGCTATGTGCATCATAAAATAAGGCAATACTTGGGATATACTTATATGAAAAAGTTATCCAAAATTTAACTGGGAGTCCTTGGAAGTCTCCAACTTGGAGGCACGGAGGTGGAAACAAGGAGCCGCAAACCACAGAGCCTCCATACCTGGAAGGGTGGGGGGATTTTCTCCTCCTAGGGCCACCTCCCCAGCCTTTGGCCCAGAGTTGGCCACCAGCAGATGGTCACTGAGTTCTGCTTAATTTTAGTTCAAAAGCACCAAGTGCAAATATCTGCGTTCCCTTTTTGTTTTTCAAAACCCAAATTTAATATGGACAATAAAACAAAAAAGTGTCTCAATATTCCTGGAAACTGCTGCAGTGGCATGGAACCCTGGTGCCGGGGGCTTTAAGGCAGACCTCGGGTTCTGTGGTGGCCCCAGGCATCCTGTAAAGGGGAATAACCAGGCCTACTTCTCCTGGGAGCAGAGTTCACTGTCACCTCTGTGTTTTGTTCTAGGACACAGCGAGCTCCCTGCGCTCGGCGGTTCAGCCTGCTCCGGCTCAACCCCGAGCCCCGCACAGCTCCTGGCACCGTCCGTGGGATGAATGAATGAATGAGTGAGTGAGTGAATGAACGAACGAACGGTCGGATGGACGGATGGACAGACAGTTCTCAAGGCCTGGAGACAGCGCGCGATGACCAGCCGACCATCACGCAGCGCAGCCTCACTCCCACCGCCTGGGGCGCTCGGCTTTCCTCCCAGGCTGCTCAGCGCAGGCAGCGTCCTGCGTGATTGGCTGCGCCGCCCCACGTGACTCTAAGCCGGCGGCGGCGGTTGCCCGGGTGACGGCGGGAGAGGTGTCCGCGGAGCAGCTGGTAAGCATGTCCTCCGACGCCGCGGGGTCACCCGAAGCCCGCGGTCCCCGGGCGAGGAGGAGCCGTGGTGCGGCCGGAGAGCTGCTGACCCCTCGCCCCTCGCCTGAGCCCTCGGCCCGAGGCGGCCGCCGGGAATTCCAAGGACCGGGCCCCTGCTTGCCGCACGTAGTCCCTGATCTTTGCTACCGCGGCCAAACTTGGAGCGGGTCCCGCAACTTGGCGGGCGGCCCGTGCGGGTGGCCTGGGCTTTAGGTCCCTGCCACCTCCGTAGTAATGTTCATCAGCTGGCTCCCCTCCTCAGGCGCCCTGGTTAAGCCCAGACTTCATCTAATCCAAGCGGACGCGATGCTTGTGTGCAGATGAGTTTTACGTACAAATGCCATGGCCTCCCCCGGATCCGGCCAGTTTGTAGGCCCTATGTTTCTCTCATAGAAATTCAGAAGCCGCTATTGCAAACCCCACCCGTGACTGGAATTTCTCCTACTTTTGCATAAAGTAGAGCCCTGGTTCTCAAACTTGAGTGTGTGTGGAAGGCGTCCAAGGAGCTCGTTTAAAAGGCAGATTCTGGCCTTCCTGCCTTGGTGCTCAGTAAGAGCAGGCTTGGGCAGGAGTTTTCATTTGCAAAAGTACCCCAGGCTTAGAATCCCTAAAGAGCATGTTGTGTGGGGAATAACCGGAGTTCAGTATCAGCAGGGCGAGCTGGAGGGAGCAGGGAGAGGGATGGGGTGAAGGCTGGAGAGATGGGTGGGCTTTAGACATGAACTAATTTTCTTTTCCCACCTTAAGGGCCTGTCAGGACTGGAGGACGTGTACTGTTGCTGCTTTTGGATCTCCAGCTTTTTTGTTCACATCCCCCTTTCCCTCTGAAGTTCATGCTGTGCTCTGTGACACTTGCCACCCCTTCCTTAAGGCAGTCATTTCCAGGGCAAGTTGCCAAGTTTCCTTCTCCACTTTTTCTACTTCCTTTTTGGAGATTTCATCTTCCTGGCTTCTCCACTTTCCTCATCCTCCTCAGCTATGGGCATCTTTTCCCTCCATCCTCATCCACTTGCTCCTTTGGTTGTGAGCTTTTGATTACTATGTCACCTCCAAAATCTTGACTGCCATCGTGCCTCCCCCTGTCTGACCACACCTCGTGTCTTCCAGGCTTCCATTTGCCTTACTGTGCCTCCTTTGCAGAGCATTCACCCATCACCTTTTCACTGTCTAAGCTCCGTTACTGGCCTCCCTTGCCTCCATTCATAACCCAGCTTAGCTTCGGTGCCCACTCACTGTTAATCTTGTTTTCCTTCTTTCTGTTAGAAAGTTAGCTTCAGGGGCTGGGGATGTGGCTCAAGCGGTGGCGCGCTCGCCTGGCATGCGTGCGGCCCGGGTTCGATCCTCAGCACCACATACCAACAAAGATGTTGTGTCCGCCGAGAACTCTAAAAAATAAATATTAAAAATTCTCTCTCTCTATCTCTCTCTCCTCTCTCACTCTCTCTTTAAAAAAAAAAAAAGAAAGTTAGCTTCACCTGGTGAAGCTCGCCTGGCATGCGTGCGGCCCGGGTTCGATCCTCAGCACCACATACAAACAAAGATGTTGTGTCCACCAATAACTAAAAAAAAAAAAAAAAAAAGGAAAGTGCTGGGAGCCAGTCTTCAGGCTAGGACCACTTAGATTGGAGTCCACACATCTTCAGTGGACTCCATGATAGAAAGCCTGCCTTACTGCCATAGTCACCTCCCTTCTCTCCAGACTGCCAGCATACTTCCTCTCAGCCATTATCTTATTTCCTGTTCTACTTCTCTTCACTGTGTTCCTTTCTTTGCTCACACCCATATTCTCCCCATGCTTATCTTCAGCTCCAGACACAGATATCCACCAAATTTTTAGCACCTCCACTTGTTTATTATTTTTTAAATTTTTTATTTTTTGGTACAAGGGATTGAACCACTGAGCCCTTTTAATTTTTTGAGACAGAGTCTTGCTAACCAAGTGGTTCAAGGCCTTGCTAAGTTGCTGAGGCTGTCTTTGAACTCATAATCCTCCTGCCTTAGCCCCCTGAGCCTCTGGGATTATAGGTGTGTGCTACCGTGCCTGGCTTCCACTTGATTTTTTTTTTTTTTTTTTTGTGGTGCTGGGAATTGAACCCAGGGCCTTGTGTATGCGAGGGAAGCATTCTACCAATTGAATGATATCCCCAGCCCCCACATGATTTGTAAATAGTCCTCTTAGACATATAGCCACACACATTGCTTGATTTCATCTCTGATCAGGGGGCTCTGTCCCTCTCCAAATTTTTCTGTCTCAGCAAATTTCATACCATTCATCAGCTGCTCAGACCAAGTTGCCAGTCTTCACTCCCCCTATCATCATGCACCCAGTCCCCAGCAGGTGAGCACTTCTGCCTTTAACATCCGGAGTCAGAACATGGCTCCTGGCTTCTATTACTCAGGAAGCCTACACTAGTCTCTGGTGTGCATCTTGGGATAGCGTCCTCCAGCCCTCCATTTTTGGTCCCTGCAGTCTCTTCCCTGAACATCAGGCATCAGGTTGGTCACAAATGGAAATGCAGTTGCATCAGTCTTCCTCATCGCTCCCTCTGGGCATTTGATTGCCTCAGACTAATGGTCAAGCTGCTTACTGACCCCATTAGGCCCACCTTCCCTGGCCCCTGGCTCCTTACTGCCTTCTATTGTCTATCTCGCTCATCTCCTCTTGCTATACCCCAGCACTGAAGCACTCCAGAGCCCTTCTGCCCAAGGTCTGTGTAGAGTTGTAGAGTCCTTCTTTTCAGTACTTAGTCTTTATTTTTGGGGGGATGGGTACCAAGGATTGAACCCAGAGGTGTTTTATCACTGAGTTACATCCCTAGCCCTTTTTAAAAAATTTTTTAAAGACAAATCTTGCCAAGTTACTGAGGCCTCACTAAGTTGCTGAGGTTGGCCTTAAACCTGTGATCCTCTTGCCTCAGTCTCCTGAGTTGCTGGGATTTACAGGCACCACTGCCCCTGGCAGGGCTTAGTCTTTATTCAAATGTTATGGGCCCAGTGAGGCCTCTCTAACTAATCTCATTTCTGTCTCCTCTAGGCTCTGCTTATCTTGTTTTCTTCAGACTTAAAGTTATTTCTGCTCCTTCATGAGTGTTCTTGAACACCTACAATGTGCCAGGCACTGGTCTGGGCACTGGGGATGCCAGGGAAGCCTGTGTTCTCAGGATCCATGGCCTGGTGCAGGGGAAGAGCAGACAGTGAGCAGGTGCATCACTGAGAAGATGTGGAAGTCAGAGCAGAAGCCAGGAGATGGCCACTTAGAGGGTGGTCAACAGGTGTCTCAGGGAAGATGTTTAAGCAGAGACTTGAATGAACTGTGGATATCTGCAGTCAGGGTAGTGAGGTAGAGGAAATAGCTCATGCAGAGCATGTGCTTTAGGTGTCCAGTGGCTGTCTGTGTCCACTGGAACTGCAGGGTGGCCAGTGTGGCTCACGTCTGTACAACAAAAGGGAGAATATAAGAGGCCAGGCTGTTAAATGCTTAGAGAACTGGGCCTAGGGAGTCTGGCTTTATCTGTAGGGTCCTGAGCAGGAGGGGAAGTCCCTGTTCCTGGTGCAGAGATTGGAGTAAAGTGAAGAGAGGAGGTGGAGAGATGAAGTCCCCAAGACAGTGATAGTGAGATAGAGCAAGTGGGGGACAGCTACTGAATTTAACCTCCCTGTGTTCAGATAATTCTGACCAAATGTACTGGCAGAAAAGGGTCAAGTTCAGGCTCATACATCTTAGAACTGGAAGAGATCTCATAATTTCTGTTTTGTAAATGAAAAAAGGCTCTAAGTTTCAGTGATTTGCCAGTGAATGGCACAGTTAGTATTGGGACCCCACCTTCTTTAATTCCTTAGGGTGATGGCACCCAGTTGGGGTAAGTGGTGGGCCGCAGGCAGGCTGCTTGCGTGGTTTGGAGAGGGAGGGCAGACAGTGCTCTCGACCTCACTATTGTGCTTCCTTCTGCTGCTGTGATGAATTCTCATGAACTCAGTGGCTTGAAGCAGAGCCAGTTTATTTTCTTACCGTTCTGGAGATCAGAAGTCTGAAATGGTCCTCACTGGCTAATCAAGGTGTTGGTGGGGCTGTTCCTTTGTGGAGCTATGGGGGAGAATCCATTCCTGCCTTTTCCGGCTTCCGGAGGCTGTCCTGCTTCCTTGTTCCTTGCGCTTCCTCCATCTCCAAAGCCCACAGTGGCCACTTGTGTCTTTCTCCATCTCATCACTCTGACACTCGCCCCCCTGCCTCCCTCTTGCTCTTGACGCCCTCAGTGATCCTCTTGGGGCTGCCTGATGATCCAGGTCAGTCCCTGTCATTGATTACCCATCTTAATTCCTCCTTGCCATGTCGCCACCCATATTCACAGGCTCTAGGGATTGGGACATGGACATCCTGGGGGCTGTTATTCTGCCTATCACAGCCACCCTTTTGGACTTCTCAGGTGATTGAAGTGAAACCTTGTCTTATGTTTTTGCCTTGTAGACTTTTGCTGAGAGAATCCCTAGTAACAGTTCACTATGGGGGATATTTTGGCTCACGAATCTGAGTTACTTGGACTAGTAAAAGAGGTAGGTATGTTATTTAAAACACGGGTCACAGAAAAATTTGTATTTTATCTAATAAAATTTTTTTTTTTTTTGTCGTAGATGGACAGAATGCCTTTATATTATTTGTTTATATTTATGTGGTCCTGAGGATTGAACCCAGTGCCTCACACATCCTAGGCAAGCACTCTGCCTCTGAGCTACAGCCCCAGCCTCTATTTTATCTAATTTTTTAAAGTTAAAAAATATTTTTGGTCCTGGGTATTGAACCCAAAGGCATTTTATTTTTGAGCTACATCCCCTCTGTGTGTGTGTGTGTGTGTGTGTTTGTGTGTGTGTATATGTGTGCCATGGAGCTACATCTCTAGCAAATTACCTATATTTTAATGATTTATATTCTCCTGTTCTTAGGAACATACATGATTTCTGATTCCATCTGTTTCAAGTAACAAATTCCCAGGGACCTACTGTATCCAAATCCATCAGGTCTTCTGCTGATCCCTTTCACCTCTTTGAAAATGTTGCACAAGTCATTTTTTTCTATTAACAATTAATAGCAGGCTGTGGCTCAGTGGTAGAGTGCTCGCCTAGCATGTGCATGGCCCTCAGTACCACATAAAAATAAATAAATAAAATAAAGGTATTGTGTCCAACTACAACTAAAAAATAAATATTAAAAAATAATAATTAATAGCAAATCATGTAGCTCACACTTTCTTCCTGAAAGCAGCTTTATTTTCTGAAAGAACATTTTCTGTGATACTTTTTTTCTAGGCTTTTATAGTGCATACTTATAAATAAATTTTAAGCAGAATCCCTTATTCTCCTAAAGATAGCAGTTTACTAAGTTCTTTATAAATTCATTATAATATTGACCTGGTACAATAATATCAAACAGTTACATGTTGATATGAAAACAGAAATATATGTACAATACATGTACAATGATGTTCTTTTTTTTAAAATTATTAAGGCATAGCTGCCAAAAATGTGTGTATTTAAGGTATAGAACTTGATTTTTTTTTTCTTTTTTCTTTTTTTTTTTTTTGAGTACTAGAGACCAAACCCAGTGCCTTGTACTTGGTAGGCAACCACTGTACCACTGAACCATATCCCCAGCCCTAGAACTTGGTGTTTTGGTATACATTGTGAAATGATCACCACAATCAAACTAATTAATAAATAGTTAACTGGGTTTTTCATTTGTTTTGTTTGGTGGTGAGAACACTTAAAATCTATTTTCTTGGCAAATTTCAGGTATACAGTGGTTCCCTATAAGTAGTGATGTTGAGCACCTTTTCATATACTTGTTGGCCTTTGTGTGTCTTTGGAGAAATATCTGTTCAGGTCCTTTGCCTGTTTTTAAATTGATTATTTGTGTGTTTTTTTTTCCTGCTGAGTTTTATGATCTCTTTTATAGTATTTAGATTTTGCTGAATTTGAAGACACCTTGAAAACATTTTCAAAAGAATGCAAAGTAAAAGGAAAACCGTTATGTAAAACAGCAGGTGGATCTTTAAGGGACTCCAAATCATTGATTATTCAGGTAACATTTTGCTTATTTTTCATCTCTGTAGAGAATTAAGGTTCTCCCAACTTGCAGCATATTGAATAATGATGGAATCATTTCTGGGGACTTGCCCAAGGTTACTTTAGACCATGTGAATGTTTATAGGTGAATTAATTGCATCATCTTTAAATCTCTGTTCCCTACATAGGAAAGGTGTGGCCAAATAAGAACTTTCATATTTTGGGGGAAGAAGAAGAAGAAACTATAGGAACCAGAATAGTGTTATTTCTATCCTGAGATTATTAATCTAGGTACTGGGGGTGGAGCATTGACAACCAAAGCAGAACCAGTCCTCTGCCTCACAGTGCTTTGGGAGATTGAAGGGGACCAGGAGCAAGAGTGATAATGACAAGGCAGTGTCCTACCACAAAGAAAGCCTGAGGCAGCTCTGAATACCAGCAGGCTGCAATGAGCACAGAGATTTGGAATTTTCCAAGGATAGAAAGGACCTTAAACTCCTCATTTCATCATTAGATGCCACAGTTCCACTTGTACCATTTCGGGTGTGATCATTTCACCTTGAATGTTGCCAGTGACAAGAGAACAAGTGATACTGACAAGGAAGCCTGTATCACCTTCAGGTGATATTATTATTATTGTTGTGGTGGTGGTGGTTATTATTATTATTTTTGTACCAGGGATTGAACTCAGGTGCATTCGACCACTGAGCCACATCCCCAGGCCTTTTTTGTATTTTATTTAGAGACAGGATCTCACTGGGTTGCTTAGCACCTTGCTTTTTGCTGAGGCTAGCTTTGAATTTATGATCCTCCTGCCTCAGCCACCTGAGCCACTGGGATTATAGGCATGTGTCACCACATCTGGCTTATTATTATGCTTTTTTTAAGATTCTTTTTTAACATGGACACAATATCTTTATTATTTATTTTTATGTGGTGCTGAGGATAACAACACCTGCAAGGCATGTGCTCTACTGAGCTATAACCTCAGCCCAATTTTATTATTTTAATAAATGTATTTATTTCAGTATACCTACTCCCAGAAGTAATTGAGGCTTGGTTTACAAGCTCCTGAGGATCTGGAGTTCAGGCTGCCTATTAGCCATCTTCTCTCTTAGTCCCTGACTTCCTAGTGGTCAAGCGTGTGCCATTGTTGAGGAGGGCACTGTTGCAGTGTCCCCTAGAGCTCCAGGAGGCCTCTACCTCTGCCTAGTGCCCTTTGGCCTTGGGTGCCTGGGTGGTGACTGCTGCTGCTGTTTCAGACATGGACTTCTGTAGGGTGTAGCAGCAGCCAGAGTGAGAGGTCAAAACGTAAAAGGAGAATATTGTCATTATTAGAAATAGAAACAGGGGCCTGGGGATATAGCTCAGTTGGTAGAAAGCTTGCCTCGCATGCACAAGGCCCTGGGTTCAATCCCCAGGACCACCAAAAAAAAAAAAAGAGAGAGAGAGAGAGAGAGGAGTAGAAACAGGCTCAGCCTCACTCGTAGCACCTGGATGCCTTCTGCCTGGAGAAGGACCATGTGCCTGGCCCTGCACGTTGGAAGCATATATGAGCCTCGAGGGCTTGAGGCTGACGTCTGGGAGGAATACTGTAGCTCCTTAGTATCTAACTAGCAGAACAGTAAGAATCTTCTGTGATGCTCATACCTAACCAGGTCCTGAGATGATACAGGATGACGCCAGCAAGCTAAGGCTTGTGGAGCTTCTTGGCACATCTAGTGCCTCTGGATGGCTATTGTGCACTGGCAACTGCTTTGTCATTGCTCCAGCTCCAGCTGCCTCTGAGATCCTAAATGTCTCTTTGGGTCTTTTTTTTTTTTTAAAAAATTGATTTAAAAAGTAACAAGTTTGGGCTGGGATTATGGCACAGTGGCAGAGGACTTGCCTTGTGTGTGTGAGGCACTGGATTCGATCCTCAGCACCACATAAAAACAAATAAATAAAATAAATAAGGTATTATGTCCATCTACAACTAAAAAAAATTTTTTTTAAAAATAATAAGTTTGTCATCTTAACTATTTTTAAGTGTATAGTTTAGTTGTGCTAAGAATTTTATATTGTTATGAATCAGATTTCCAGAACTCATTCACCTTGCACACCTGAAACTCTGCATCCATTAAATAATTCCCTCTACCCCATCCTTGCTGGCCACCATTCTATTCTGTCTATGAATTTGACTACTTTAGATACCTTATATAAGTACAATCATACAGTATTTATCTTTTAATGTCTGGTTTATTTCACCCAGCATAATGTTCTTAGTTATGAGAACATTCATTCATGTTGTAGTGGGTAACAAGATTTTTTTTTCTTTTTTAAGGCTGGATAATTTCCAGTGTATGTATATACCACATTTGTCTATCCATTCCTCCCGTGATGGTCACTTGGGTGCTTTTACTTCTTGGCTTTGAACATGTGATTACAAATCTTTCTTCAAAACCTTGCTTTCCATTTTCTTGTATATATACCCATGTAATACCCAAGTGAAATTGCTGGCTGTATGAGAGTTCAATTTTTAATTATTTGAAGAATTGCTGGACTGTTTTACTCAGTGGCTGCTCCACTTTACATTCCTACCAGTAGTGTATGCAAGTCCCCTAACCTCTGCCCATTTTTTTTTTTTTTTCCCCAGGGGTGGTGTACCACTGAGCTACGTCCCCTTTTGCCTTTTTTTTTTTTTTTTTTTAAACAGCTTTCCAAGTAGCTGGGACTACAGACATGTGACATTGCACCTGGCTCTTCCCGTTTTATAAACATACTCACCAACATTTGTTATTTTCTGTTATGTTCATTGGTAATTATCCTAGTGTGTTTGAAGTGTAATACTTTTTTTTTTTTGGCACCAGGAATTGAACTCGGGAGCACTCATCCACTGAGCCACATCCCCAGCCCTTTTTTTTTATATTTTATTTAGAGACAGGATCTCCCTGAGTTGCTAAGCACCTTGCTTTTGCTGAGGCTGGCTTTGAACTCTTGATCCTCCTGTCTCGGCCTCCCAACTCACTGGGACTTCAGGCATGCGCTGCTGCACTTGGCTGAAGTGTAATATCTTGAGATTCTGATTTACATTTCTCTGATGTCTTCAGGTCCATTTTTTAATGTAATTTGAAAGACCTTGAATTTTTCTTTTCTTTTTTTGGCATACAGGGGATTGAATTCAGGGGTACCTGGCCACTGAGCCACATCTCCAGCCTATTTTGTATTTAGAGACAGAGTCTCACTCTCTGTTGCTGAGGCTGGCTTTGAACTTACAATTCTTCTGTCTTAGCCTGGTGAGCCACTGGGATTACAGGCATGTGCCACTATACTTGGCTATGACCTTGAAATTTTTGATTGCCACAGAGTATCTTTTCTGCTCCTCCAGTTAGTAATTGTGCCCCACTGGAGTAGATCCACAAATAAAAATACACAGAGCAGTTAAACAAAATATGTTGTCAGGGATCTTCAACAAATGGCGTTTCCCTGGGCACAGTGCTTTAAGAAGTATGTGTTGATGAGTTATTAGTGGTGCCTGGTGGTATGCACGTTTTCTCATCTTGTTGATTCTGGCTCTGATTGTGGTTTACAGAAGATCATTAATAGTTTGTGATCTCATACTTACAGTGGATTGCTTTACACTTAAGGAAAATTTAATTGCAAGGACTTTTTCTAGGTATAAAATCTGAATCATAAATTGGAGTGGATGGTAATTATCCTAGTGTGTTTGAAGTGTAATACTTCAATGAACATAACAGAAAATAACAAATTGGAGTGGATATCTAAGCCTTGTGGTTTTAGGACTAAAAATGGAGTTTGGAACAAAGTGTAGATGAGCCATTTGACATGTGGGCTCTGGAAAGCCATGTTAAGAAAATGTCATGGCCAGGCACAGTGGCACTTGCCTATAATCCGAGCAGTTTGGGAGGTTGAAGCAGGAGGATCACGAGTGTAAAGCCAGCGTCAGCGGTGAGGCCAGAAGCAACTCACTGAGACACTATTTCTAAATAAAATACAAATTAGGGGTGGGTATGTGGCTCAGTGGTCAGGTGCCCCTGAGTTCAGTCCCTAGTACCTCTCCCCCCAGAAAAAGGGAAGAAAGAAAAGAAAATACCATGATTCTGGGCCTTCAAATTCCATGGGAGTCAGTGCTCTCCTCATTCACATAGAGAGCTCTTGGTCTGCGATGCTCAGGGTAAAGGCCTCCCCTGGAATTCCTCGCAGGGTTTGCTTGGGAGCACGTCAGAGATGAACTTGGTGCTGAGCCAGGCCCAGCAGCACTGCCTCTGGGAAGATCCACTCTGCCGTTATATCATTCATTCACAAGAGTGTGGAGCTTCTGCCCTGGGTCCCCCAGTGTCTCCCAAGAGGGGCTGTGCTCGGCTGTGAGCTTTGTCCTGGAAGCCCCCACCCAGAGTTGTTGTAAGCTGCCCTTGACCTGTTTCAAGGCTGAGCAACAGAAAGAGGCTGGCTTGGAGGAGGTAGAAGTTCATTGGAGTCTCATTTGGGAAAGTTCTGAGTTTATGTTCAATGTATGCAGATACTTCCTGCAGTAATGCAGGTTTCCGAAACAGTAGTTCTCCATCACATGATATGGTGACAGTTTTTGTAAAAGTCACATTTGAAGAATCCTTATTAGTGAATGTCCTTGACCTAAGTAAGAATAACCAGACACTGTGACCTTGTTCTCAGTACATTTCCATTTTATAATGTTAATAAACTTGATCATAAATAAAACAAGTAATCTAAAAATGATAATTATATAGGAAAATCATATCTAAAACCATTTTTGAAAGTATAAAAAGAATAATGGCCAAATAATGGGCAGTCTCTTGTGGTTTTGTATTTCTACTTCCTGCTTCCGAAGAGGGGTGTGTGGGGTGTCTGTAGTATTGGCTGGGCTATGAGGGGTTTGAGTGTTGGAAGAACAAGTGTCCTTCATAATTCTTGATCAGTCTGATGTCCTCTCTGCAGAAGGATCTCGTGGCTGCCTTTGATGGTGGAGACCAGAAGGTGTTCTTCGATTTGTGGGAGGAGCATGTTCCCAGTTCCGTCCGAGATGGTGACTCCCTTGCTCAGAGGCTGGAATTCTATCTTCACATTCATTTTGCCATTTATCTTCTGAAGTACTCTGTAGGGAGGCCGGTGGGTTGGCTGTGGTTGGTGGGTGGGCGGGGGTGGGCGGAGGTTGGGGGTGTTGTCAGCTCTTCCATGTTCTTAGTTCTGTCCTCTTTCATCATTCTGCTCAAAAGGTGCAGCATCTTGTGTCTTGAGAAGTTATTTTCCACCTCATTCCCAGCACTTTATTTTCTAATTTATATGGAGATTTAATAATTTCTGTAATCAAATTTTTATCTAAATACTTCAAGTTTTTGAAAAACTCATCAAAATAGCTTAGTGTATATATGCAGACTTCTAAAAGAACACATCTTTGGGCCACATATTAGGAAATAAATTTAAACACAAGTTGTAGGGGAATAGTTTGCCTTTTTATAGAGTGTGTGGGAATGACAGGTTGAATTTAGCTTCCGTGACCTTTTCCCGGTAGGGTGGAGGGCTGAAGTGTCAAGCCCTGGGGTGGATGAGCCTTGTAGTTCAGAGGAAGTGCTGGAGAGGGAGCAGGCCAATCGATCTGTGGTCATGCACGTTAACACTGCCTTGGGGACCTGTGTTAACTCAGAAGGTCAGGGGCCCCAAAGGAAGGGGCAGTGATGGAGGGAGGGGCATTACGGTACCTTGCAGTACCCTTTCTTGGAGTCTGTTCTTTAAGATATTACTCATGTGGGGAAGGTCATGTGAGACTTTTATTATTTGTTTTTATTTCTATTTTTAAATTTTTCTGTTTTGATGTAAGAAAAAAAATCAGCGTCATCCATTTTTTAAGATGGGTTGGAAGAGGGCCATGTACAAGTTCAGTGAGGTGTGCCCATGAGAACAGCAGCTAGTGTGTGCACAAGGCCACAGGCTGAGGACTGTAACTTGTGGGGCCCCTGAGGTCACGGAGGGAAACACCAAATCCAGCTCTCTGTGTGCTCATCAAGGTCCAAGAGAAGAGAGGAACCCTGAGACGGGAACTGAGGAGCACTGGGTTGCATGTGGAGCAGGGAAGTGGGGCAGGATCAGCCCCTAGATGGATAAAGGAGAAGAGTAGTGACAGGGGTACTTAGCCTTCAAGAACCTATGGAGATACCTACTCCCCTTAGAATCATGGGAATGCAGACAGATGCTCATGAATGTCTGTAAAGTGGAAATGGTGGGTATGTCTAATAATGGGAGAACTACTCAAAGTAGGAGAGATTTGATGAGATTTTGTCTTTTCACTAAAAATGATGTTCATGAAGAATTTGGAGGTCATATTAAATTGGTAAAAATGAAGTTAAAAAGTAGTGTCTTGAACTGTTCATACAATTTTCTGGCATTTCTGTTAAAGTTTCACAAGGGGTAAAGTTGAGGTGATGTTAGAATGACTGGAGACAGTGTGCCCACCAGGCCAGATGGGGACAAGGCCAGTGACAAGGAGCCTCAAGAGCAGATGGGTGAACGGGGGACCATTGTGGAGCTAGAAACCACAAACAAGTATCTCCCTGCTCTAGGACAAGCAGGAACTGGACGAACGGATTTCTTATTTCAAAAACTACCTGGAGACGAAAGGGGCAGCGTTGAGCCAGACCACCGAGTTCCTTCCTTTCTATGCCCTCCCTTTTGTGCCCAACCCCATGGTACACCCTTCATTCAAAGAGCTCTTCCAGGTAAGTGGCAGCTTTACATCTGGGGCTTCACTTTGTGTAAGCTTCTGGTTTCTGAATTATACTTTAGAAAACTAAAGTCTGTTGTTGTTGTTGTTATTATTATTATTATTATTGGTACTGGGGATTGAACTCAGGGGCACTTAACCACTGAGCCATATCCCCAGCCCTTTTTTGTATTTTATTCAGCGATAGGGTCTCACTGAGTTGCTCAGGGCCTCGCTAAGTTGCTGAGGCTGGCTCTGTGATTCTCCTGCTTCAGCCTTCTAAGCTTCTGAGATTAAGGTGTATAGCACTGCACCTGGCTGCTCTCATTATTATTTTTTGTAACCCTAATTTATTCATCTCTTTTGGATGGTTAGTTATATTTGGTGAGTGTTTGATTTAATTTTCACTATCCTGTACTAGCTGTGGCTCGTGTTCTTGTACATACTTATAAAGCTCGTAATAGCAAGAACTAGCAGTGCCCCATAGTACATCAGAAGGAACATGCATAAATAAATTGTGTAATGGTCACACAATGGAATACTGTACATCTAGGAGAAAGAACAAACTAACCGCACAATGATATAGCCTTGAGTATGCCATAAACAGAGAGGACATGTTATAGTTTCTCTTTGTAGATAGATCAAAGCAAACAAAGGTAGTTTTTAGGCCAGCATATACCAGTGTTCAGTTTTAACAGAAAGCAAGGATTCTTACCTGCTTGCTTGACAAATTTTTTTAAAGTTTTATTTTTTTAGATGTTATATAGTAAAATTGACCTATTTTTTAAAAAAGGTTTTATTTAGTTGTAGTTGGACACAATGCCTTTATTTTATTCATTTATTTTTAAAAAATTTATAATGTTTTTAGTTGTGGATGGACATAATATCTTTATTTTATTTTTTATGTGGTTCTGAGTATCGAATCCAGTGTCTTCCACAGACGAAGTAAGCACTCTGCCACTGAGCTATATCCCCAGCCCTATTCATTTATTTTTATGTGGTATTGAGGACTGAATCCAGACCCTTGCATGTGCTAGGCAAACGTTCTACCACTGAGCCACAACCTCAGCCCTAAAGTTAACTTTTGGTCATGTGTGTTTTATGAATTTCAACATATGCATTGATTCTATAATGCTACCACCACAATCAGGACACACAGTTTTGTTTTGTTTTTTTGTACCAGGGATTGATCCCAGGGCCATTTAACCACTGAGCCACATCCCCAGCCCTTTTCATTTTTTATTTTGAGACAGGGTCTCACTAAGCTACTTAGGGCCTTGCTAAGTTGCTATGTCTGGCTTTGAACTTATGATCCTCTTGCTTAACTATCTGGAATTATAGGCACCACTGCACCCAGCTAGCACATAGAACTTCTGCATTAATTATCCCAAAGTACTGCCTTGTGTTGCCCCTTTATAGTCACCCTTGTCCTCACCCCTAAGCCCTGGCAACCACTCTTAAATTACACTGTAAAAGAGCATTGAGGTAATGGGCTTAATGAACTCTTTGGTGCCATAAAATAAGATTTATTTTTGGTTACATTAAGGCCTGTTAACTTGGGCTGACAGAATTTTTTTTTTATCTTTAATTGATTTTATTTTTTTTAAAATACACAACAGCAGTGGAATGCATTATAATTCTTTTTTTTAATGTTTATTTTTTAGTTTTAGGTGGATACAATTTCTTGATTTTGTTTTTATGTGGTGCTGAGAATCGAACCCAGTGCCCCATGCATGCCAGGCGAGCATGCTACCACCTGAGCCACATCCTCAGCCCCTATTATAATACTTATTACACATATTGAGCACAGTTTTTCATATCTCTGTATATAAAGTATGTTCACACAATTTATGCCTTTATACATATACTTTTGTTTTTTTTACATTACAATTTTCAATACACATATATATATATACCACAATTTTTCATATTTTATTTGTATGTAAAGTATGTTGACACCCAATCAGAAATACTTTAAAATATTATAGCCTCTTAAATCATGTTGTATGTAAGTATTGAAGGGAGACTTCGATTATATTTAAAACTTCACTGCACTGCACAATCTCCTGGCTCTCATTGTTGCTGCTTTGAAGTTGGCTGTCACCCTAAGTGCTATTCCTGTAGAGGCGATCTATATTTTTTCTCTGACCTTTGGGATGGTATAGTTTCACTTCTTTGTGTCAGGGATAGATTTCTATTTTCACTTGAGATTTATTGGACTTCCTGGATGTACTGTTTTTTTGCGTCTTTCAACAACTCTGGAAAATTTTCAGTTCTTATCTCTTCATGTATTACCTCTTCCCCATTGTCTTCGTCTCTCCTCTGAATATCTGATCAGGTTGAGTGCGCTTCTTTTTTTCAGTGCTGGGGATTGAACCTAGGGTCTTGTCCACATGAGGCAGGTAGGTGCTCGATTATGGAGCTACATCTCTTGTACAACTTCAGACTATTTATTGTGTCTTCTTTTTTCTTTTTCATTTTTAAAAATTGTGGTCAAATATATATAAAATTTACCGTTTTGACCAATTTTTTTGTGTGGTGGGGTACCAGGAATTGAACTCAGCGGCACTTGACACTGAGCCATATCCCAGCCCTATTTTGTATTTTATTTAGAGACAGGGTCTCACTGAGTTGCTTAGCACCTCACTTTTTTTGCTGAGGGTAGCTGAACTCATGATCCTCCTGTCTCAGCCTCCCGAGCTGTTGGGATTTCAGGTGTGCACCACTGTGCCTGGCCATTTTAACCATTTTAAAGTGTGTATTTCAGTAGTGTGAAGTAGTGTGATCTACATTTACATTTTTGGGCCTTACTTGTGTTTTATTTTGGGTACTGGGGATTGAACTCAGGGGCACTTGACCACTGAGCCACATCCCCAGCCCTATTTTGTGTTTTATTTAGAGCCAGGGTCTCACTGAGTTGCTTAGTGCCTTGCTGATTCTGAGGCTGGCTTTGAACTCAGGATTCTCCTGTCTCAGCCTCCCAAGCCCCTGGGATTACAGGCGTGTGCCACCATTCCTGGCATCTTCCTTGTCTTTTTTTTTTCTTTTAATTTTTTTTTTTTGTAGTCATAGATGGATAGAATGCCTTTCTTTTATTTGTTTTTAATATTTATTTCTTAGTTGTACACAATACCTTTATTTTGTTTATTTGTTTTTATGTGGTACTGGGGATCGAACCCAGGGCCTCGCACGTGCTAGGCAAGCGCTCGACCACTGAGCCACAACCCCAGCCCCTTCCTTGTCTTTTAACAGCATATATTTTTCATTTCTTGATCTCTCTGGCTATGTTCTGGGCAATTTATTCACATTTATATTTCAGTTCACAAATTTATTCTTCAGCTGTGATTAATCTGTTCTTATTGAATTTGTGATTTCACTTATTAACTTTTTGTGCATGTGTGGCACTGGGGATTGAATGCAGGGGCACTTTATCATGAAGCTACACCCCCTGCCTTTTTATGTTTTATTTTGAGACAGGATCTCCCTAAGTTGCTGAGACTGGCCTCAAATTTGTGATCTTCCTGCTGCCTCAGCCTCCTGAGTTGCTGGGAGTACAGGCATGCATGACTATGCCTGGCTACTTTATTAACTTGTTAAGGTAGAAGGGTTTTTGTTGTTGTTGTTGTTGTTTTTAAAGAGAGAGAGAGAGAGAGAGAGAGAGAGAGAGAATTTTTAATATTTATTTTTCAGTCCTCGGCAGACACACATCTTTGTTTGTATGTGGTGCTGAGGATCGAACCCGGGCCGCACGCATGCCAGGCGAGCGCGCTACCGCTTGAGCCACATCCCCAGCCCTTGTTGTTGTTTTTATTCAGATTTGCTGGGTCATTTTTATACTCTCATTTCTTGCTTTCTTTGACATATTAAACATTTATCTCATATTCTCTGTGAATTTCAATACCAAAAGTCTGTGTAAATTTGGTTCTACTGTGTCTATTTCTGCTGCTCTGACAGTGACTTATTTCCCTTTTTAAGGAAAAAAAAAAGTGTTAATGAGTTTATTTTACTTGGAACTGGAAAGAATTTCTTTGAGGCCTGGATGCGATTTGGTTCTTCCAAAGAAGATTTTTATTGGCATCTTCCAGTCTTGGGGGGCATACCAACCTAGGACCATTTGAAATCAGATTATTTGCAGGAGATCTGGGGACAACCCAGGTAGTGTCAGTCTCAGCTCATGGTACTGAGTGTGGTTGTGAAATCTCAAATTAGGCTTTTCCCTCCTTCCACCCAGTGTCAAGGTCAATACTGGTTCTTTCTGTATAATGAGTTTATTATCCATAACATTTTACTTATGCTACAGTCCTTTGGAGTCCCGGGTTTGTTCTGGGGTCTCCTTTAGATTATGTAATATGAGCAGATCTTCTGTTTTCCATCTTATGTACTCATGACAACTCTCAGAACTGAAGTTCAAGGTCTTCAACATTCTGCAGTTATCCTTACAGCAAAAACACTGTCTTCGATGTTCCTTAACTCTTGGGGTTCCTGCTTTCACTTCATTTTGTCCTCTGCATTCCTTCCTTGACACTTGGGTGCATTTAAAAACAATAGCCTTTTTTTCAAAAGAGTTCTTTTAATTGCTTTTTTATATCATCCCTTCTGCAGTGTTGACAGACAGGAAATTCCTTCATAGGTATTGTAATGAGTTCTATTTGTAAACTCAGTTTAGGATCATCCTTCTGCAGAAATACTTATGAATTCCTGTAATTGATAACTTTAGGAAAAACTTCTGGACACCTGTTCTGTGCTAGGGACCACTATATGCTTGATTAGTGAAGATCTGAAGAAGTGGGGAGAAGCCTTGTAGGCTCTGTAAGGGACAGAAAGGAAGCCACAGGTAAACCAGGGGGTGAGCCCTGGGCCTTCCTCACTCCCATAGTAATGCTGCCGTGACTCATTGTATCAGGGTCCTAAGTAAAGGTTCCCTGTCATGTGAAGAGTCTGTTTTACAGCCAGACTAATCTACTTAAAAGCCTGCATTCTCTAAGGGAAGAAACCATGAGAGAAAAAGGGTGATGGCTTTTTCTAGATCATTCAGCAGAGCTGACCCAGGGCTTCTCCTGGCTCTTTATGCTTATTTTTGGAATTATGGTGGTCAAGTTGCCCATCAGACTTGGGAAATGTTCTCAGAGCTGAAAGCACAGGAAAAATAACAGTTGAGAAAAAAAATGAGGTGTTCATCCCCAGAGAGATTTTACTCCAGTCTTAAGCCTGTTATTAGCAGAGCATCATTGGGGAGGTAACCAGTTGGAAATACATTATTTGTTGGTTTTACAAAATGGTAACCAAAACAGAGCAGCCTAACTGGAGCTCTACAAATACTTTGTTTTTAAGAAGTCTCAATTCATGTTGAGATACAGCAGTCCTCTCCGAGGTTCTTTTCCAGATGGTCAAGTGCAGAGAGCCCTGAGCTCTGGATGCCATGTTTGCCCTCCTAAGGACGCCCCAACAGAGAACCAAGGACCCTGTGGCTGAAACCACAGAAATCTATGGTCTTTCACTTCTGGAGACTGGGCATGGTTGGGGTCGAGGTGTGCGCAGGCTGCCTGCCTTTGGAGGTTCCGGGGGAGCATCCTGCCTTTTTTCCTCCAGCTTTGGTGGTTCTAGATGACCCTTGGCTTGAGTCTGCTTTGCTGCAGCCTCTGTCTCCATCTTGCATGGCCTACTTCTCTCTTCATGTTTCCTTTGTCTGAATTTCCTTGTTCCAGTAAGGGCACCAGTCACATTGGATTAATTGTCCACCCTGTGCCAGTGTGACCTCTCCTAACTGTTATTACCCCTGCAGTGGCCCCTTCCCCAAAGACCTCATGAGATACCAGGGGTTAGGGCTTCCACACGTCTTCTGGGGGGATACATTATAAACAAAATGATCACATAGTGTCAAAAAATTTAACAAATCTTTTCAAAATTTAGGAATTCTTGTTCATTTAAATTGTATTGTTACTAAATGGCACAGGATAGAGTGATTGGATCCAGAGCTGGAGAGGAGAGGGTGGGAAGGATGGGACAGTCGGAGGGCAACGGCAGGATCCACCAGGCAGGTGGATGTGAGTGTTTTACTGGGATAGCGACTTTTTTATGAAATTCTTGGTTTGAGTGGAAGTTATTTTTGTATGAAGTGTGTGAAGAAAATTGTATTGAAAGATTGGTACTTGTCACACTTTTTCTTTTATTATTTTTTCCTTCTTTAATGAGTGTTATTTGCAATACATTATTTTCAAGGGACATATCATAACTGCTTGAGGGGGCTGGGGATGTGGCTCAAGCGGTAGCGCGCTCGCCTGGCATGCGTGCGGCCCGGGTTCGATCCTTAGAACCACATACAAACAAAGATGTTGTGTCCGCCAAAAACTAAAAAATAAATATTAAAAATTCTCCCCCCCCTCTCACTCTATCTTTTAAGAAAAAATAACTGCTTGACATGATAGGACGTATTTGTTTCAGATAATGACCTCTATTCTTTGTTCATATGAGGGCAAGTTCTATGAAAATGAGTTTCTTTCTTTGGAACCATCAGTAACTTAGCGATAATTGTTTGTGTTATGCCTACCAGCGCCATGCATGCCTAAACCATAATTATTTTTGGTATTCAACCTAATAAGGTCACTTGTCATGCTTGTGTTTAAATCACATGAAATATTCAGATCATGTACTGAATTGTTTTTTCCGTACTGTGACTTCTTGAGTCTTCTGTAACTGAACTGGTCATATGTCCTAGAACCTGTTTCTACATTCTCACATCTCTGGCAAGATCCCTTGCTTTTGGTTTCCGTAACTAGCAGGGCTCTTAACCAAATGGCCCCAACTTGATGGTACTGCTGGCATTTAGTGGGGTACTATTTTTCTTTTTTTTCTTGTCTCCAGGACTCTTGGACTCCAGAGTTAAAGTTGAAGCTGGAAAAGTTTCTGGCTTTAATTTTTAAAGCGAATAACACGCCAAAGCTTTTGACAATCTACGTATCCTTTTGAAGCAGTGGGAGCCCCTGCAGAATGAGAGCAGCCAGTGGTTGCAGGTGCCTGGTAGATAAGGGTAATGATTGTGAATCTGTGAATATAAATTGTGAACATTTATAAGGTGAACAAAGCATTAATGGGAGGCTGTGCCAAGACCCGTACATATACCCAGAAGTTTGCAGTATTTATAAAAAACAGATACATGTATGTGTGTTTATTTTTGCATCTTTTTATCAAATGAAGAGAACATTTCCTCATATCATTAATAGTCTTCAAAAAACAGGTTCAGTTATCTCAGAAGGTGACTTACCATATGACCTGGCAATTCCACACCAAGATTATGCCCAAGAGAAGTGAAAACATATGTCCACACAGCAACTTGCAACATTCCTAAAAGCCCAATGGGCAGATGACCCAAATGTCTATCAACTGATAAAAGGATAAACAAAATGTGATGTATCCATACGAGGAAATAGAAGAGGAAATGAAGTACTAATTCAGGCTACAACATAATGAAAACATTATGCTAAGTGAAGCCAGGCACAAAAGGCCATATGTTGTATGATTCTGTTTATATGAAAGGTCTAGAGAGGTGAATCTATGAAAGCAGGAAGTACATTAATGGTGGCAGGGGCTGGGGAGAACAGGGCAAGTGAGCATGACTGCTAGTCAATGAGGGGTTTCTTTTGGGGGATGGGGAAGATGTTATAAAATTGGTACAACACTTGCCTATTGTATATGGACCCTGGGTTTGACTCCCACACTGCAAAAGAGAAGGGAAAACAAACAAAAAAAACCCCAAAACAAAATTGACTGTGGTGATGGTTGCATAACTCTGTGAATATACTGTAACTATTGAAATGTATACCTTATAAATAGGTGAATTATATGGTATGTGAATAATGCTATTATGAAAAAATTAAGAAGAATTTAATGAGATCAAAAAAGAAACCCCACATGAATACCTTGCTTTGGTATCCCATCCAGACACACGGGAGCTGAGGTTTGAACCCAAGCAGTCTGGCTCCACTATACTCACCCCAATCTCAATTTCCTTAGGATAAAGCTTTGGAGTTGAAGTTGCATATTTGCATTTTTAGGACATTTCAGCTGCAGGGGGAAGGTCTTTGGAAGATGGTAGAAGGCCTTTAGGAGGCTGTGGGAATAGGCAAGGCTCCACCAACACAGTGATCATTGCGATGGAGAGAAGAGGACTGATTGTTTTGGGAGTGAAATCAACAGAGTATTGAGACATCGCTAACTATCTTAGCTCCTCACAGAAACGCTTAGACCTGGGCTTCGTTGTCCTGAGAGTCCTCTTCCTCTTTGGTACTGTCTACCACACGCTCGTTTTCCTGAACTTATTTCTCATCCCAGAAGGAGAATGGACAAAACAACAAAGGTAAATCATCTAGATTAAAATTTTTATAAGAACAGCTCTGCCAATTCAGGTTTTAAGCTGCGAAGTAGGAACAGCAATGGAAAGAGTTTGTAAACTTGGAAAATGAGGGCTTTAAATATTTACAAAGTGCTCTGTAATCATCTTTATCTGCAGTGTTGAGGCCTGCTCTCAGGGTGTCTGGTGTTGCCAGCTAGTCTTCGTACTGGATAGCAAGGCCTGGGGAAATGGAGGGTCCAGATAGGGTCCCCAAGGGAAATAAATGACTTCAGCAGCTCTGAAGGCAGGACACTATGGGGTTATTTTAAGGAATTATTATTATTATTATTATTATTATTATTATTATTATTATTTGGTGGTGGTGCTAGGGATTGAACCCAGGACCCTGTGCATGGGAGGCAAACATTCTACCAGCTGAGCTAAATCCCCAGCCCCTTATGGAATTATTGTAATATTTTAACTTTTATCTTGAACTAGTCAAATGGGGTTTTTTATTCAGCACCCATTCTTATAAATCTTTTCCATTTCTTATATTCAAAGTAGAAATTCCAATCTTAAGTTTATATGTAAAATGATGTTTTTCCATGGTCAGTAATTTTTACCAGAACATTTTCCAGCGAGGTGAGAAAAACTAGTTAATATGAAATTGGTGGCTTCAGTTGGGGCCAGTTTTGTCTTTGATATTACATTTTGAAAAGTGTCTGAATTAACATGTTGGGAAGGGTGTGTGTGGTGCTTCATGCCTTTAGTAAGTATCGATGGCATGTTTCTCAATTCCCAGTAGGTGGAGTTTTGCTACATGAAAGTTTTGGTCTGTGAAATATCCCGTTTGCCCCTTTCAGAGTAGAGCAATGTCAGAGAATATTGCAGAACGTCCTGCCATTGTTTTTCTATGCTTCTTTTAGAGAGTTAAACTTTTTTAAAGAAAGAAAATATTAATAAATTATTTAACTCTGCTTACCAACTTGACAAATGAGTAATACTTTAGGTCTGCCACCTGTGGAGAGTTTCAGTAGTGTCAGATGTGAAAGGCTTTAGTGTTCGTTTTGTCCTTGGTAACCTTGTGTGTGAGTCATCTTTTCATCACTGTAATGAAGTTCTTGAGGCAATTAACTTATAAAGAGAAAATGTTTATTTAACTCACAGTTCTGGAGTTTCCATCCTAAGATTGGGCTGTCTTATTTCTTTGGGCCTGTGGTGAGAGACCCTGATGGTAAAGACATGGAGCAAGGGGTGGAGCTTTCATGAGGAACCAGAAAGCAGAATGAAAAGACGGGGCTGGGCCAGCCACAGTGGTGCACACATGTAATCCCCGTGGCTTGGTAGGCTGAGGCAGGAGGATCACTAGTTCAGAGCCAGCCTCAGCAATTTAGCGAGGCCCTAAGCAACTCAATAGACCCTGTCTCAAAATAAACTACAAAAAGGGCTGTGCCCAGTGGTTAGCACTCCTGAGTTCAATTCCTGGTACTCTCCCCTGCCCCCCCCCCAAAAAAAAAAAAAAAAGATGGGCCCGGGCCCTCCTAAGGGTTTCACCACCTCCCAGTGTTGCCACAGGCTGAATTCCAGGGGTTCCAGCAAACCAGGTCTGGCTGCTCACCCCAAAAAACAAGCAGAAAAGGTAATGATGAAAAGCTAGAAAGGAACTTTAATCCATATAGTCATTTTTGTTCTGTTTTGTTTTACTTTTTTTTCTCCCCTGTATCAGAAATTGAATCCAGGGTGCTTAAGCACTGAACCACATCCCTGGAACTTTTTTATATTTTATTAGAGACATAGTCTCCCTGGTTTGCTTAAGCAGCCAAGGAGTCTCTAAAATTAAAATCTCATTAACTCTTTGTTGGAGTGGGAAGCAATGCCTGTAAATGAAATAGAAATGTTAACAGAGAAAGCTTGAGTGATCCTGGGTGAGATTTCTATCACTTTCATTATTGGTCCCTTGAATGCTAGAATTATCAGAAAATGTCCTGTGACGTTCTTTTAGTTGTGTATGTCTCTTGCATCTCAAATTTTTGTAAACTTGAGACACATTCTTTGGACTTTTGTGCACATCATATCAGTAGTTTTAGAATATGAAAAGTCTAAAAGATACTTCCCTATTAAAAGTTGAGTTGGTGCATGGCAAGGCATCTTGGCTTAGTTGTGTTAGGCAGCTTTTTTTGTAGCTGTGGCCATAATACCTGACAAGAACAACAGAGGAGGAAAAGTTTATTTTGGCTCAAGGTTCAGCCCATGGTCTGCCAGCTCCCGATGAGTCAGAACATCATGGCAGAAGGGTGTGTTGGAGGAAAGCTTCTCAGAACATGGCAGCCAAGAAGCAGAGAGGATGCAAGAAGCCAGAGGCAAAATGTGTAATCCCCAGCGACCCACCTCTTCCAGCCGTGCCCCACCTGTCTATAATTACCACCTACTTTTCTATTCAGATTATTAATCCATCAAATGAATTAACCTACTGATCAGGTCATGGTCTCATGATCTAATCATCTCACCCCCAAAACGTTTCCTGCATTAACACAGAAACATTTCAGGGACACCTCCTATCTAAATCATCAGAGTTGTTCTTATCTCATAAAAATTTTGATAGGGAAAAGAGTCAAAGTGCTGCTTAATGCTCTGGAATAAAGTTGGTTACCTCCAGGTATCACTGAAATCATACAGTCATGGTCAGGGGTTCAAACTAGGGCCTTGCATGTGTTGGGCAAGTACTCAAGCCACTAGGCCACGCCCCCAGAACCCCATATTTAAAATTGATTGTTTTTCCCTGAGCAGCCAAGAAGTCTCTAAAATTAAGATCTTATTTACTCTTTGTTCGAAGCTAGCTGGGATGTCTGCAAGCTGATGTCTCTAGATAGCAGATTATTCTGCCAAATAATGTATTTGAAATTGGTCATGAAACTTTCAGTCCAGTGGTCTGCTTCTCTCATCCTGAAGTTAGCTTCTCTCATCGCAGGAAGTTAGTTCTCCTTTTCCTTAAAGGTGTCACGTTTGAAACTGTCATAAATTATAATTCTGGGTTCCCAAGGCAAAGGTTCCTTTTGTTTAGTTAATTACAAAATGAGCTTCTAAGGGGAAGAGTTCCTTTGTGCATTTGCCTCTGGAGAGAGACTGCTTTGGGGACACTCATGTTGAGATTTGGGAGGTATTATGGCCCAGATGATGGGTTTTGCAACTTGGTCCCTCATCTACCCCTTGGGGTAGATGGACAGATTGCACAAAAATATTCTCATATTTGTTACCATGAGGTGGGATTGTGAATAGGAGAATTTTCATCTTTGCAAATTATAATTTATGTATTTTTGATTTTGATACATATGAAGAGCTTTAATGATAGCACACATTTAAAAAAGAGAAAGAATGTAGTGAGTCCCTCTCCCTTGTAATGTTTAAGGAGAAGCTTAAGAAATCATTTCCAGAGATATTTTCTGGGAGCTCAAGTACTGGATGTAAATTTGTATCAGCTGACTTCTTAAAATTATTTTTCAACACTGAGATTTGATGGTTGCTGAATAAGAATACTAAATAGTTGTTAATGATATTTTGGTTTTGATAGTTATAATAGTTATTTCTGTACTCAAATAATTGTGAAACATGGAAGTTCTTGAAATACAGTCTGAATGTGTGTGAGCATGCATAACATGGAAGAATGGGTAACTTAGGACACTGGTTCTCAAACTTATGTTATGCATCGAGTCATTTGGGAGCTTGTTGAAAACATAGATGCATAGGACACCCCCCTCTCCCGCCGAGTATCTACAGAATCAAAGTCTCAGTGTGAGGCCTGATCATCTATATTTTTATTTTATTATTATAATTTTTCGGGGTACTGGGGGTTGAACTCAGGGTCACTCAGCCACTGAGCCACATCCCCAGCCCTATTTTGTATTTTATTTAGAGACAGGGTCTCACTGAATTACTTAGCGCCTGGCTGTTTCTGAGGCTGGCTTTGAACTCATGATCTCCTGCCTCAGCCTCCAAGCTGCTGGGATTACAGGCGTGTGCCACTGTGCCTGGCTCTGATCATCTTTATTTTTGGATGTTTCTGATGTATTTCAAAGCTTGCGTACCACTGCTTAGGATGCAGACTTTCTGCACTTTTGCCAGTTATCTGTTTGCATAGAAATACATTCAGAAAGCCTTTGATCCCTTTCTGTGAAATGAAATAATAATAACCACCACTTATTGATTACCTGCTTTATCCCAGCCATTGCACTGGACACTTGGAGTGTGTTTTTTACTTAATCCTTATAGTAACCCTTCAAGGTAAAATTATTATCCTCATGTTGTAGATTAAGAAGTGAGAATCTTGGGAGGCTGAGGCAGGAGGATCACGAGTTCATAGCCTGCCTTAGCAACTTATCAAGGCCCTAAGCAATTTAATGAGACCTTGTCTCTAAAAAAAAAAAAAAATCCAAAAAAGGGCTGGGAATGTGGCTGAATAGTTAGGTGCCCCTGAGTTTAATATCTGATAACCACCCCCCCCCCAAAAAAAAAGTGATAAGTCTGGCCCTGATGAGAATCTGCCCTTTCTAGGTGTGACCAGAGTGGTGTGGCCTCGATCTCTCTAGTGGAGTGGCTTTCTGCTTTCTCAAATAGCAGCATGAGCACTGCAGTCTTATCTTCTTCTGGATTCTTATTCTTTTTTATTTTTTTTTTGTAGTTGTAGATGGACACAATACCTTTATTTATTTATTTATTTTTATGTGGTGCTGAGGTTGGAACCCAGGGCCTCACACGTGCTAGGCGAGCACTCTACCACTGAGCTACAGCCCCAGCCCTACCTTTTATTTTATTTAATTTATTTATTTTCATGTGGTGCTGAGGATCGAACCTAGGGCCTTGCACATGCTAGACAAGCGCTCTACCGCTGATCCACAACCCCAACCCTGGGTTTTTATTCTTAAAGCATCAGTCAAGCAACTCCAATTTTTGTTTAAAATGGAGGACCATCCTGTGGATAGGAATATCCCCCAGATAGCCTCATAGAACAAAAACAGAGAAAAGGACACAGGTTTGGTTCCACTGTTTTGTGAGCTAAATATAGAAAGAAATGTTGATTCTAATCCTTAGAAATAGAAGAACTACTAGAAATTTTGTGGGGGTCAGTCAAGGGAAGAGATTTTGTTTGGGAGCCCACTGATGATTTAGTTGAACTTACAGCACCAAGAGAATTTAAATTAATGATTATAAAATCCTTTGTAATTATAGGTGGCATGAACTAGAGGTAAAGTGCTAAACACAATAGTGTCAAGTCTGTTATTACGGCAAAATATTCTGAAAGTAGGTATGATAGTCCTTGGAGAAGAAAGCAGTTTGTTCTGTGGGGTTTTGTTGTTGTTTTTGTGTGTGGCTTTCATGTACTCCCTCTTCCTAGAAATGCTGCAGCAGCTCCACCAGCAGTTGGTCGAAGCCGAGCGTCGGTCAATGACGTACCTGAAGCGGTACAATAAGATCCAGGCCGACTACCACAACCTCATTGGAGTCACAGCCGAGCTGGTGGATTCCCTGGAGGCCACAGTCAGTGGCAAGATGGTAAGGAAGATCCCTGTGTATATTTCTGTTGGAGAGAAGTGGTGTCTGGAGAATGGGCTGTGTGGTCGGCAGTCCCTGGCCACTCCTCCACCAGCAGAGCCTGCCTCTCTATTTAAAAAGGCTCACACGGACAAGAGCTGAGCTGATGCTTCACATGGGTTCATCATGCTGTTTGCAGTATTTTACCCATTTTCCTAATACATTATTTATCGTATCTTTATCTAACTTATTCTTTTTTTAAATTTTTTTTAGTTGTAGATGGACACGATGCCTTTAATTAATTAATAATTTTTTTAACGTGTTGCTGAAGATTGAACTCAGTGCCCTCACACGTTAGGCAAGCGCTCTACCACTGAGCCACCACCCCAGCCCCCTAGCTTATTTATTTATTTATTTTTTGGTTTGTTCTTTTTTGCTTTTGCAGCACTGGGGGTTGAATTCAGGGGTGCTCCACCACTGAAGTAACATTCTCATTTCTTTTTATTTTTTATTTTGAGACAGGGTCTTAATAAGATGTCCAGGCTGGCCTTGAACCTGGGATCCTCCTGCCTCAGCCTCCTGAGTTACTGGCATTGCAGGCATGTGCCACCAACCTCTGTCCCTAATTCTTAATGTTATAAGGATAAATTGGCAACAGAGAAAAATGTGTGGGAAAAATGCTCTTGCCTTGCTGGTATGGTGAAAAGCAGTTGATTTTCACATGTTGTTTTGTATACATTTACCTGCCTTTCTGAACCCTATTACTTGCTTAGGTTTTCCAGTTGATTCTCTATCTTCAAATAATGATATTTTAATTTTATTTTACTTTGTTTCAGTATCTTTCTTTTCTTTAGTAGTGTTGGCTAAGGCCTGTAGGACATTGTTGAATGATGTCATGGGCATCTTCATTTTCTCCCTGACTATAATGGGAATGACTTTAGTATTTCACTTTTAAAAAATTAGGAAGTACAATAAAATCTCCTTGTGGAGAATAAGTTTTTTTAAAAATTGAAGTAATTATAGGTTCATGGTGCAGTTATAAGAAACAATGCAGAGATCCCTTGTCACTTTGCCTTCAGTGGAAAACATTTTGTAAAACTGTAGTGTGTCACAATGAGTGTAAGACCTTGCTACAATCTGCTGATGTTTTTTGTATTTTCATAATTTTATTTGTATTCATTTTTGTGTGTGTATTAAGTACTATATATAGTTTTATTACCAGTGTAAGTTTGTGTATTAAAATTCTTTCTACTAACTTTTAAAATGTGATTATAAGATAGTATGCATTATAGAAAATTTCAAAAATATAGAATGATCCAAAAAGAAAAAGAAACATTACATATAATTGTGAGTACTAATACTGGTCGATATTTCAGACTTTTTTCAGAACTTAAATACACATGTTTTCCCAAAGTGCATTCTAGGCCACACATTATTTTCTGGCCTGCTGTGTAATACTACAGAATTACACGCTTGAAGCCACTGAGTGTTGTTCTGCAGTGTCTCACCATATGGCAGAGGCACACTTCATGTAGTATCAGGTACCTGCTATTAGGTATTTAGGTTGTCCCCAGGTTTTTGTTTTCATGTCATTGATAAAGTTGAAAATATCTTTGGAGATGAACCTCTGTTATATGTTTTTTAAAAAATATATTTTTAGTTGTACATGGATACAATACCTTTATTTATTTATTTATTTTTAAATTTATTTATTCATTCATATTTTATTTTTTGGTGGTGCTGGGGAGTGAACCCAGGGCCTTGTGCATGCTAGGCAAGCACTCTACAACTGAGCTATATCCTTAGCCCCAATTTTCTTTATTTTTATGTGGTTGGTGCTAAGGATCAAACCCAGCATTCCACCACCGACCTACAACCCCAGCTCCTTTGTTATGTTTTTTTAATGTTGATTTGCCAGGTTGAATTTTATGCTTAAGGTCCTTCAGAGCCAGGTGTGGTGGCACACACCTATAATCCCAGTGGCTCAGGAGGCTGAGTCAGGAGGATAGCGAGTTCAAAGCCAGCCTCAGGAACAGTGAGACACTAAGCAACTCAGTGAGACCCTGACCCTAAATAAAATACAAAATAGGGCTGGAGATATGACTCAGTGGTTGAGTGTCCCTGAATTCAACCCCCAGTACCCCCTCAAAAAAGATCCTTCAAGAAGGTTAAGCTGACTTGATTCCAGCGATTCCACTTGATTCCATTTTTTTTTATTAAAAAAAAAAAAAAAAGCTTGCTAACCCTGGGTATTATTATTAAAATTTTTATGTTTTGCAAATTTGATAGTTAGAAATATTATCTCATGATTTAAATATATGTTATAGTCTTTACATATGGAATTGAACTTTTTAAATATGTTTTATTTGTTTGAAAAAGATTTGTTAAATACATACTGTACGCCAGTCTCTATTTTAGGAATTTGGAATGCATCACTCTGCAAAGCAGAGACCCCACCCTCAGGGAGCAGGCACTGCAGTAAAGAGTGCAGATGGCGAACAGCAAACCTAAGCAGAATAAATAAGAACCTGGGCTGGAGGAGGACAGCTCTAGGGGGCAAAGGGAAGCCAGATGAAGGGATCAGAGTTTGGGGCTCTGTGAGTTTGGACAGGGTGCAGGTGGACCGAGCTTCATTGCTGGGGTTGCTGGGAAGAGGCAAGGGAATAGCATACAGTGTGGGGAGAAGATAGTTCCAGGCCAAAGCCTCAGCCAGTGCACAGCGTGGCTTGCGCCTCAGTGTGTAAGGAGCGGAGCTGGGCCCAGAGGGGCCAGCAGGGCCCAGGGCAGGCTGGGGTGGGGACAAGCAGGAGGAGAAGTTGCAAGTCAGGGCGGGCAGCTTGGGGGCCATCAGAAGGCTCAGCCTTCACCCTGAGGAAGCCGAGTAGAAGAATGCTGAAGTGGAGAGGTCTGACGGATGTGGCAGTCACCTGGCCACTCAGAACTGTCCACAGGTGCTGCAGGGAGACTGAGAGGAGCAGCACAGAGGCAGTGGCAGTCATTGGAAGGAGGATGTGGTTGAGGTGGAAGAAGTGCTTGTCCAGACGTGGGATGAAGATGGTGCTGAACTGGACCTGGGAGGGAGGGAGTGCAGTCAAGGGCGACGTTTACAACTGGAAAGATGGTGTTGCCACCAGCTGAGACAGGGAGGCCTTGGGTGGGGAGCAGGCGTGAGGGTATCAGGAGTTCAGCTTTGGACAGGGGTGTTGGAGTAGAGCCACTCACAGTTTATCTAGTGCAAGTGTTTTTCTCAGTTCATTGTTTGCTTTTCAAATTAGTTTTTCATAATGTATGAACCTTCCTTTTGCTTTCTGACATATTAAAAATTAACTTGCCTCATTCTGGGTGTACCGCCTACAGCCAGGTTCATGTGATACCTGATGAGGCATGTGACCAAAATGAGCTTGTGAGCTCCTATCGCTGGAGTTGGTGAGCAGAAGCTTGCAGACCACAGGCGGGGGTGTAAAGGGGCCTGGGCCTCAAGTGTTGAGGCTGGACTGGCTGGTCTGTAATGTGAAAGAGATTGTGTTCATGGCGAAAGACGGGATTCAGAGGATCGTGTAGGAAGCCTCCTCCACCACAGCTCTTTCAACTCCTTTCCTTTTTGAACTTCTCTTGTATTATTTCAGTTCACTTGTGTGCACATATGTGAAAAAGGGAATGTTTACGTTTTAAGACTGTAGGAATGCATTGGCAGTGCACTCAGGATGATGTAGGAGGTTAACCTTTAGTGGGGCTCTTCTTTCTCTGAGTGATCTGTGATTTCCTATGTTGTTGTGTGTCCAGGAATGATCAGACATTTGCCATGGAATAGACAGAGCAGCCCAGAAGTTTGCAGTGGTATAGGCAGGAGCCCCAGCAGGCGAGAAAAGGTCTGGGCCGGTGTTCCCAGGTCTTCCCAGCTCTCCAGTTAGGCTGCCCTCCTCCGTGGAGATGAGTGAGCGAGGGGCAGGAATAGAAGTCAGTTCCATTACCATGTGGAAGTTTCAGCACAAAAGAATTATGAAGCTGTGCAAAAGGAGGTTCCCCTCTGACGGATGCAGAGACAAGTTTGTGAGGCTGCAGAATTTTTAATTGCCCCTAAGGATTGGTTTGTGGGGGAAGGCTGTGATTTGGAAGAAAGTGGGGGACTCACACATTTTAAATAAGCATGTATTATTTTTATGAAAAGATGAAAGGAAAAAATGCAGAGATCACCACCTTAGATGTCACATACCCATCCTGACTTATAAGGACTGTGAGCGAGGTGAAGGCATACTGAAGAACACTGTGGGACAGCAGCCCTAATGGTGACGCAGTTCAGCCTCATTTTGCCAGGCCCTTGACTGTTAGTCACGTCTCTGTCATCACTCAGCATGTACCCAGCCATCATTGTGTGACCCTATTTACCCCTCCCTGTGGCCCTACAGGTAACCCTGATTCATCTCAGGTCAGGAGTGCAAGTGCCGCTTCTCTCTAGGGCCCAGGCCTTCAGGTTTGCAGCCTGGTCCTCTTTCCACCACATGATGGCCACCCAGTGACTTTATTTCTTGAATTTACAAAAATGGCTTAAAATCTATTTTCCAAGGCAGTGGGACTATAGCAGGTAAGACTATACCGTTTGAAGCGTGATGTCCTCTGATCACACCTCAGGATATATTAGCAGCTTTTTCTGTCAAGTTAGTGCATTAATTCTTCTCAAGAACTCCAAAGTTAAAGCCAAGTGATTCTTTTTCTAGCTCATGCATTTCATCACTGTGCCTTACAGAGGCGCTGTTGGGGGACAGCAGCCTCCTACTGTCCCTTGGGTGGGTTGTGTGCCTTTCACCACAGGTCCCCGTGTCTTCTTTGCAGATCACCCCGGAGTACCTGCAGAGTGTCTGCATCCGCCTCTTCAGTAACCAGATGCGGCAGAGCCTGGCGCACAGTGTGGACTTCACGAGGCCTGGGACGGTGAGGCTCTCTGCCTGTGGCAGAGCACCCCTGCTCTGTTCCTCAAATTTACAATGAATGTAGCTAAAGAAAATGAATGTGCATGAAAAAATCTTCTTCAAGAGGCTGAATTGCAGCTGGATCTGGAGGCCTAGAAACTCTCAAAAGGAAAACTGTCTCTGATTTTTTTCTTCTTTTTTTTGGCTGTCCTTGTGATTGAACCCAGGGCTTCACACATGCCAGGCAAGTGTCCTCCCCCTGAGCCCCAGCCCCAGCCCCACAAGAGGAAAGTGAATGCAGTCTCTGAGGCTGGAGTGGAGAGGCATGTTGTGAGCTGCTGGGGCAGCTGCTCCAGGCCTCCAAGGCCTGGGTGTCAGTCGGAAAAGAAGGAAGGAAGCCTCGTTCTCTTTTTTAAAAGAATTGCCCTTTGGGGTTTATATGGTCTAAGTCAGGGATTCTTTCTTCTCCTTTAACTTTTACTTGGAATAATTGCAGATTTACAGGACAGTTATAAAAGTAGCACAAAGGAGATTGGTATACCCTTTATCTGTCATCAACTGTTAGCATTACCTGTTTATTTGCTTTCTCTTTTTCCATACACACACATAAAATCTGTTTTCTGAACCATTGAAGGATCGATTGCATGTATTATGACCCTTTACTGCAAAATACTTAAGAGTTTTTTAAATTTATTTTTTAACAGCTACTTAGAGTTGTGTATGTTTATAAGGTTGGTGTTATCTCTTAAGATTAAGAATATTCTCTTAGGGGACGGGAGGTGTAGCTCAGAGGTAGAGCATTTGCCTAGCACACATGAGACCCTGGGTCCAATCCCCAGTCCCTCATAGAAGGAAAACAGCCACATGATCATGAACTTCAGTCAGTCCCTATGGCCTCCTGTCCAGTCTGTCCGTTTTCCATTTTGCCAGTGGAGCCAGTCGCACCCTTTATGGTGCTGCCCATGCCCCGGCAGCCCAGGGTCAGGTGACATGGAGTTCTCAGGGCTCCTTGGCAATTTAGATGGGGTGTGCAGTGACTGAACTGGTAGGATTTAGGATTTGGAAGGAGAGGAACGTTACTTTTTTATTTTTTAAGGCGATGAACATTTTAGGGTCAAGCAGGCTGTTGTCAATTTCAGCAAAAATAAGTGGACACCTATTGGCCTCCTTTGTAAAGTGGCCCCAGGCTGCTCTTCCTCAGATGCCCTGTCACACTGGTGTGTTCCAGCAGGTGGCATTCTGTAAAGGCAGTGCCAAGCCTGTGGGAAACCCGCAGGTGCCGGTTAGCTTACTGCGTTTGCCTGGTCTTCAGATCTGGCTGTTAACATGGGCCTAGGCTTCTCCAACTTACTTTAACTTTGAAAGTTCAGAAGGGCCCAGGAAAAAGCCCCCTGTATCCCCTGCTGAGTTCTGAACCACTGAGAAACATGAGGAAGAGTGAGATCAAAGTGTCGCCCTCACTACGGACAGGGTTCTGTGGGAGAACGCGGAGTTGATATTTTTGTTGTTGTTCTTTTTAGATATACATGACAGTAGAGTGTATTTTTTTTTACAATTTTTTTATTAGTTGTTCAAAACATTACATAGCTCTTGACATATCATTTCATACATTTGATTCAAGTGGGTTATGAACTCCCATTTTTACCCTGTATACAGGTTGCAGAATCACATCGGTTACACATCCACTTTTTTACATATTGCCATACTAGTGTGTGTTGTATCCTGCCCTTCCTATCCTCTACTATCCCCCCTCCCCTCCCCTCC